TACTATGAGAAAAAGCAGAGAGAGCAGAACGTTAGAGATTGAACTAACAGATTCTTTTGGTTTGGATGTGTTATTTATTGTTTTATGGCTTTGTTGTAAAGCACTTCGGGTACCATTTGGCTATTGTAAATTAGATTGATTGATTGATTGATTGATTGATTGATTGATTGATTGATTGATTGATTGATTGATTGATTGATTTATTGATTTATTGATTTATTGATTGAAGCAAAGAGCAAGCAGTAGGTGGGAGAGGGAATTCCTTATAGATACCACCCAGGCTGCTGAATCATATGGCCAACAAAGCAAATAGTCTGTGATGCGGCACTGTGGTCGCAGACGACTGGCAGGAGCCCACAGGGCCTCCTTGGGAGGTCAGTTTTCAAGGCAGGAATCTTCCCCATCCCAAACTTAGGGGCCTCCTGCTTTGCAGCAAGCAGCATCAGCTGTCTGACAAAGAAAAAAACAGGCTCATCGCAGATGCAGAGGACATCTGTTGGACTAATTGATTGACCTGCCTCTTGCACAACCCCAGTAGGGTGAGCACACCCACAGCTCTGAGCACTAGCAGCCAGCAAACTGACAGAGGAAGCGGAAAGACCACTGAATGCACGTGTCCATAAAACCATTTACAACTAAACCTGCAGGCAAGAAGATTAGAAGGGACTGAACTCCTGGTGTCACATGATTATGTAAACCTAGGTTGATCACTGGTAGGTTATTGCTTCCTATTCTTGACTTGTGCAAGAGTGATCATGCAGTGCTTGACGCACCGCCTCTGTCTCTGGCTGTCAGAAGGGATGAACTTAAAATACTTCTACCAACAGAGACAGAGAAATCTCCTGGCGGTTGCTTGTCAGGATACCTGTAGGCTCACTTGTATACTGATTACTGATTGATCCTTTTTTTTAAGGAGCAGGGTACTGCAATGCACAGCAGAACCTTAGTGATGTTCAGTTACTTTTGGTAGGTTGGATTTTAGGTGCACTACCCCTCTTAGCATATAGCCGGCCTCAATCAAGGTCAAATATTGAGTTGGTGGGGGCGGTAAAAACTCTGCTGAAATGATGCTGACATTAATCTTGTTCCCTAAGAGGGGCTGAGATCCCGCCTCCTTTCCGTTATCCAGGCAGATCTAATGGGAGCAGAAGGCTCAGTAACCAGGAGATCAGTGGATGGCTGGTTGGGATCAATATAAATGCTGGAGAAACTTCAAAACCAGATCTATTTTCTATGGCAGTGCAGGAAGCAGAGGCCATTGACCCTCCACCAGTTGCTGTTTCTCACTACTTACCACCAGAGATTTTGCTGCGTGATCTGTTTTCAGTTTCTAAAGAGATCACAGTGTAAAATCTCTTAGAATAACATCTGTAGTTCAGAAATGAAACAGGATGCTGCTGGACTGAACTGTGCGAGATGACAATGCTTCTGAGGACTAGCTTTGTCACAACCTTTATTCCATTTAAAACTGAAACCATATAAAGAGCAATTAGTTATTTCTCCCATTGCTCGCTCTCTGCTCATAGTTGTTGGGTTGTGCTCAATCATATGGTTAAAGTGTCTTGGTTTGTGAATTAGCATTGGTTTGCACTGTTTACTACTGTGATGCTAAGCAGACTCCAGACTTAACTTACCCAGAAATAAAATGTTCTCACAAAAACAACACAGAAAACTTAATTAGTTCATATGAGTACATTTTGATTCAAAAACCAATTCCTCGCATATTTTTAAACACTGATCTGCTCTTTAAAGGTCACTATAAAATAGATGAAAGAGAATTAACATTTAGGACCCAAAATCATTACAGAACAGGGATATGTTTCATAATTTTTATTTTATTTCTCTATTCATTTCTAACACGTTGATTTAAGCATTTTTAAATGACTAATTGAGCCCATATAGTGATTAATCCTTTGGATCATTTCTATTTCTGTTGGCGTCTCATATTATAAATTATATATTTTTTGCTCTTAACCATAAAAAAAACTTAACCTTAAAAATGTAGAATGAAAAATGGTATTTGTTACAGTATTGATATTGAGTTAAACTTATAGTGTTTTCCTACAGGGCTCAGTGTCCCAGTCCTATTTATTACCAATAATACTTCATTATATGACTGAGTCGAAAATTGTGTTTAATAACAAAAACTACTTTAATATTAATAGCTTTTAATTGTTGTGTGTGTTACTATATAATTTATTAGTTGCAAATCACTGCAAGTAAGTTTTTTGGCTCATAAAACCTAAAATGTTTCATATTTGTCAAACATAGAAGTTTGCGATTAAGCAAAGCTGAGTTAGCCTCTTTTCTTCCTTTCAACATAAAATCCTTTAGAAATGATGAAATGCTCCTTTACTCATATCTTAGGTTGATGCCTTTAGCTTCTTGTAATATCTCCAGCGTTTATTCTCAGGTCTTACTTGCTTCAGCATCTCCAATTTTACTTCTCCAGAGACCTGGATTTTGACGGGAGGTCTGAGAGAGGGAGTCTCCCGCTGCGTAGGAGAGGCTGTGAAAGACCATGGGGCTGTGGCTTCAGCTGGGTCCCAGAAAAAGGTCATTGCCATCGGAGTGGCCCCTTGGGGTCTGGTGTACAACAGGAAGCAGCTTGTCAACGCCCAGGTACTCAAGAGTCTAATAACCTTAAAGTAAGTTTGAAACCAAGGGCTGCTGACTCTTTGTTTCTGGTGTTGCTGGTTTGAAGGGAAGTTTCCCAGCTCGGTATTACGTCCAGAACACGACACATGACACCAACTGTTTGGACAACAGCTGCCAAGCCTTCCTCCTGGTGGATGATGGCAGCGTTGGTCAGCGAGGTGGAGAGGCAGCCTTTCAAGCTAATCTGGAGGACTACATTTCCCATCAGCGCACAGGCATATGGGGTAAGAAGGTTTTGGTTTTTTTTACCCTTTTTCATCTTTTAATAAATATTGAATTGACATGGTAGGAACCATTGGACCACAGAAGTCAGTCTTTGGGTCAAAGGACTCCTATTATAAAGTAGAAATGAGTCGGAGCAGCTATGATCAGTGCCGCTCCGATAGTGGCTGCGGTAAGACAGGAAGTAGGAAGAGGAAGCAGGAAGTTCCCTATGGACTAATAATATCCACACCCCACTATTTATTCAGGCTTGCTAAGGCTGCTGCTGCTGGAATCAGAGAATTAGCTTAAAATTCAAAATATAGTTTCATATTTTGCTCTGATTATGTTCCGTCACATAGGAGAAATCTTCTTTACCATAAGTACCATTTACCGTTTACTGGTCTTCCTGTCGGGGAAACAGGCTTCAGGTTTGGGAATTGACGAACTGAAAAGTGCATCATTGGAATATTTAAAGAAACAAGTTTAATTCAAGAGCGTCCCATCTACTGGCTCCCAGGAATGCACTAAACGCTATAAACAGCTTCACCTGTTCTATAGTGGATGGTTTGCTATAA